CAAGGTTGAGGGGCTTTCACCCATCCCCTAGAGCCTGGCACTTTGAACTTGGACTTAAAGCCTCCAAACTGTGAGAGAATAAACTCCTGTTTATTAAAGCTATCCCATTTGTGGTATATTCTTGTCAGAGCAGTAGTAGTTAACCAGAATACTGTCTATATACTAAAACAAACTTGTTTTCAAAAAAACAAAAAATAGTTATTTAACCTTGTTAAATAACAGCTTTTTCTTAAGGTAGTAGAACTTAATAGGATGGATTTATCTTTTAAATGTCAAAATAACAACAACAACAACAAAAGAAATGTGGTGCAGTGATTTGCTTAATGTGACTTTTCTTGCCATGGCCTTTGTAACTCCCCCTAGATGACTGAGACTATGCAGATATGAGGTTCTTGTGACCCATGGCCACCAAGGGAATTGGATACCTTGATAATAATGTAATATTTATTATTTCCATGGGACCATGGAAATAAGGTATATGAAACCCTAATGTGGGGATTGATCAATTTTGCTATTCCTCTGGGTTTAAAATGAGCCATCCCAGAGGCAAAAAGGGAGATCTCACTCTAATCCAGACAAAAGAGCCAGGAGTAGAGTGTATCATTTGGACCCAAGATCCCTGCCCTGAAGTGGCAGACGGATGGCAGCAGAGGCACCAGAACCAAGAGACAGGCAGGAGACAGAGTTGTAGGCTTCCTGGCCCGTAGAGCAAGAAAGCTGAGTGCCTTCAGGCACGAGCCTTGCTCAACTCGATGGCAGTAAGTTTGGTTTTGGAATATTCCATTGTATTTTTGTATGATAAAACCCACTGTCACTGCCACTGAGTTGTCCAGCTTATAGCCACCTCATAGGACAAAGTAGAACTGCCCCATAGGGTTTCTAATGCTGCAAATCTTTACGGAAGCAGACTGCCTCATCATTTCTCTCAGGGAGTGGCTGGTGGGTTCAAACTACTAACATTTATACAGTGCTCCATATGTACAAGGTTATTTGTTTATTTGCCATTGAGGTTGGTAACATTTGGATTGTGTACAGTTTTTGACAGTTATGAATAAAAGCTGCTGTAAACATTTGTGTACAAGTTTTGTGTAAATATAAGTTTTCATTTCCCTTAGAAGTGGGATTGCTGTGTCATATAGTAAGTGTGTGTTTGACTTCATAAGAAATTATCAGACTGTTTTCCAAATTGACTGTATAATTTTGCATTCCCACCCTAATGTATGATTATTTCAGATGCTCTTCATTCTCACCAACACTTATTATTGTCAGTTTATTCTTATTTTAGCCTTAAAATAGAAGTATAGTGACAGTTCATTGTGGTTTTAATTTCCATTTTCCTACTGAATAATAATAAACCGAACTTACTGCCATAGAGGAGATTCTGACTCGCAGCGACCCGCTTTGGTTTTCTAAGGCGGTAAATCTTTATGAAAGTAGATTACCCCATCTTCCTTCTACAGAGCAACTGGTGGGTTTGAACCACTAACCTGGTTAGCAGTCAAATGCCATTGGCACTGCACCATTAGAGTTCCATGAAAAATAATAGCATTTTTCATTTGTGCTTATTTGCCTCCTCTGTAAATTGACTATTCAGATATTTTACTCTTAATTTTTTTTTTATTGTCTAGCATTAAAAGTTTTTCATATATTCTGTATATAAATCCTTTGTCAAATAATGTGATTTACAAATACTTTTTCTGAATCTGTGATATAGTTTTCCATTCTCTTTACAGTTATATTTCAAAGCAAAAGTTATAATTTTTATAAAGTCCAATTTGCCAGTATTTTTCTTTTATTGATTGTTTTTACTGTCAAATCTAAGATGTGTTTGTCTCATTCAAGCTCAGAAAGATTGTCCCATGTTTCTTCTAAAAATATTTTATCTTTCCATCTCATATTGAGACTCATGATTCATTTGTTGAATACTGTCTCGGAAACCCAAGGAGTGGTCACTATGGGCAGGTCTGACTCGATGGCACATAACAACAATTATAACTTTTAGAAATTTTAGTTTTCAGTTGTTCATTAGTAATATACTCACTGCCATCGAGTCGAATCTAATTCATCCAACCCCTCTTTGGGTTTGAGAGGCGGTATCACTATGGAAGTAGATTGCCTAATCTTCCTTCCAAGGAGTGGCTGGTGGGTCTGAACTGCCATCCTTCTGGTTAGTAGTCAAATGCCTTAGGCACTATTAATTTTTTTATATTGAACATGTATTCCAGCACATTTCACTCATTTATTATTTCTATGACGGTTTTTTTTTTTTTTTTTTTTTTTTAGTAAATACTGTTCATCATGTTGAGGAAGTTCCTTCTTCTGATTTGCTGAATTTTTATCAAGCATGACTGTTGATTTTTTGTTAGAGGTTTTTTTTTTTTTTTTACATTTTATTGGGATTTTTTCTTTAGTTTCTCTAAATGGTGCATTGCATTGATTGATTTTCAAAGTTGAACCATCCTAGGTTGATGTTTTTCTTCTTTTAGCCCTTAAATATTCTATCAGTTTTTCAGGTTGAATACTTTAGTCTCCTTTCTCTTGCTATGTCTCCTAATCCCATATCCTGTCCATCACTAGTTTCTCTCAGCAATGCTTTCTAATTGTATCTAAAATCTGACCTTTTATCACCACCTCTGCATACCTACATTTGTTTAGGCCTTCATCATATTTCACATACCTCAACTCTTTAAATCACCTCTTTCAGACTTCCTGCTTTCACTTTTTCCTTCAAGCTGTCAGTTCCCCACACAGCAGATAGACCTCCCTGATCTTAATCCTTCCAAAAGTTTCCATTTTCAAAGAAAAAGCCAATTGTCTTTAGTATGGCCCTTAGAGTCCTATGAGACTCGCCTGTGGCTGCTCCTCTGATCAGATCTAACCCTCTGCTATCCTCACTCAGCTCCAGCCACAGGACTTTCTTCAGCTGTCATGCCTTAAACTATTTTCAATTTTGTATCTTCCTGCAACTACTTTTCCTTTAGATACCTGCATAAGTCACTCTCATATTTTATCCCAGACTGCTAAAATGCATGATTATAGTATCAGTAGGCATCCCTGACCACTCATATCTAAAAATGTCTCCCCACCTCATTTGCAAAGCAATCCATGTATATAGTTGTAGACTTTTGTTTTGTTTCCTTTTTTTCTTTCTAATCTTTTATTCTTTTCCTACCCAGGCTGAATTTGAGAGCAGATATTTTTAGTAATGAGATTTATTGAATTCTTTCAAAACATTCAAATTAATTTTACAGAGCAACACCTCTTTTTGTACTGATAAATGCACTGGCATATATAATATTTAATTAAGTCTCCTAGTTATAACAACAGATACAGTTGGCATAAATGATTTGGAAATGAACACATCTGCCACTTGGTAAGGCCGATGTGTTGACCATACAGAAGAACTACCTGTGTGTGTGTTTTCTGAAACATTCTTCCTAGCTTTTATGCGTGCTGTTCCTTTTGCTTTTGCCTTTCTTCTCTGCTTGGGGATGTATAAAGGACTTTTAGGATGCGTTCTTCTTTCTTTCACTTCCTCGTGTGTGACTTTTCCATTCTTGTATATATTTCTGTTAAACCTTCTTTTCACTTTACTGCAGTTCAATTTGTTGTCTGTTTTTCTGTTCCTCTTAACTAGATCTCTGAGCTTCGTGAGGAAAAGAACTTTATTGTACTTAGCTCATTGTCTCCTGTACCCGTGACAGTGTCTGAAGGTCCTTAATAAATGTTTGTGTCATGAAGGAGTACTGTTTTGCATTTGAAACAAATAGAAGTCTGGAGATAATACATGTCAACAGTTATGCTGGAACTTAGCATCAGAGTTTGACAAGACCCATGTTTCCTGCCTCCCCAGGTCCAGTGTTCTATTGTTGAATTAAATGAATTTTGATTTTTAGCAAAAAGTCTTTTTTGTTTTTTCACTTACAGATATTGGTGATGTCAGGAAGTACAAACCAGGTTACTTGGAAGCTACACTTAACTGGTTTAGACTTTATAAAGTACCTGAAGGAAAACCAGAAAACAAGTTTGCTTTTAATGGAGAATTCAAAAACAAGGTGAGGTTGGTAATTTTTTTTTTGAAATGTACCTCCTGATACACGTGTAATACTTACTTCACTAAGGGTTTGTAATGGGAATATGCACATGTAGGATGATTAAAAAGTGTTTTGACTAGCCTTCACAGTTAAAGGTATTATTTTATTTTTACTTAGATATTTTTTTTTCCCGGAGATCTGAGTGAATCAATGAAGCTTAAAAATTATCTATCTATCTATCTCCTTCATGTCAGAAAGTGACAGAATTCCATCAATCTTAACTTTTCAAATCATATATGAAGAAAAACTCTCCATTTACTATTTTGGGAAGGGAAAATTTACTTAACCTTAGTGTAAATACATAGCTTCATAGGGATTTCCCTCTTAAGTGTTTATTCTATCGTGACTAAAATAAGCTGCTTAAAAATTAAGCCAACAATTGAATTGTCATGTCATAGGATTTTTCCATTAGAATACCACAAAATTATCATAAAGTGTCTCTAATACTACATAAATGAGAAAATAACCCACATGATTATAAAAATTGGAATAGCTTTCAATATCATTACCCCTAACAATGGTGGGTATTGTTAAGTAAAATACGTTTTGTAAGTAAAGTAAGGTGTGTTAATGAAAACTTAAAATTCACAATAAATATTTTGCTACACAGGCAGTCTTCAGGTTATGAACAAGACCCATTCATAACTGTGTCTTTAAGAATTTGTCAGGGCTTCCACTAGTTCTGCTTGGTTTACTCATGGGTGAAGAAGCATCACCAGAATAGTCCTAAATTTTTAAAGGTATGGTGAACCAGAAAGATAGGCAGAATGGGAAAAATTATAGGTTGGAGCCTTCCCAGAAACTTAATCTCCCTCTTAACAGAAGGGCATTGTATACATTACTTAGTAACCAAATCTCTTGCCTTTGAATTTGGAGCACAGTCCAAAGTAGCACGGACCTGCTCAAAGATGACAGTTAACTATGCTTCTTTGAATGTGTATGCTTGCCTACAATTCTGCCAATAATCCATTTTCAAGGATCTGGCACTTGAAAGGGCTCGCTACATCTCTTACAAGTCTTCCATTCCAGGATTCGGACCAGTAATTTTTCCATTCAGATGCTGAATCTGCCAAATTCTAAAACTTTGGGTCTGTTCCTATTTGGCTGCATCAGCTGTGACAGGACCTGTTGTTTAAGGGGCAAGTAGGAGTTGTCTGTAAGTTGGAAGCTTGTGTAACTCAGAGACTGCCTATATAAGTATTTATTATTGGAGTCTGTATTTTTAAGAAGACACATTAACAGAACTCTTAAAATCTTGAAGGATTTGTTTAATATTATTAAATATAAATATAAAACTATTACATTAAAACAGATCTAAAGTAATATAAATATTTATATAAATGTAAATAAGATATTGAAAATGTATACAATAAATTATTTTTTACCTTTTCCTCAAAATTTATCTGATATTTTATGTCAGGTAATAAAAATTTCAAGCATATATATTATTTTTATGGCCCCTTATTGCTTCACAGTATGTCTACCAACACCTGAATTTATAAAGGATGATGTGTTTTGGAGATTTTTTGGTTTGTTTTTAGCCAAGCATTAATTCTTACTGTGTGAAGACTAGGTCATTTATACAACCACTTATCAGAAAATAATTATTTTATGCATTGCTTTTCCACTGTTAATTAAAATATAGTGCGTAACTCAGAAAAATTAAAGTATGCCTCTATGTTGTTGTTGTTAAGTGCCATCGAGTCGTTTCCGACTCATAGCGACCCCATGCACAGCAGAATGAAACACTGCCCAATCCCGCGCCAGCCCCACAATCCCTGCTATACTTG